GTTAAATCGGACGAAACGTAAGTTCAAGCTTATCAGTCGAGCACCTTCAACCACTTCTCATCAAAAAAGACAATTCTTAATTTCAGTTGGTTAATAATCTTTAATGATCATAGAAAAATAGTTGTATGATGAGAGTTAGTTCAGTTTAATAACAGAATAACATCGTCAAAGGGATTATTCAATCGCTTAAGTAGGATCCATAGGAAATGTTTTAATTCATCAGGTTACAACGCAAAATAAATTATGTAATGAAGACGTTTTTAGGCAAATACCTTTTCAATGCTTCTTAGTAGTTTTTCATGTAGGGATTAGTTCATTGGCTAAAGCATATGACTTTTATTTACTGTGTACTATGTTCGAGACCCACTATATCTAATTACAAAATTAACCTTTACTATCTGGTCTTTTATTACTACTAGCAAAGTCTGAATTCAGTGACCGAAATTAGGCCTTAATCCTATGTATAGTTGGTTAGTTCCAATAGTGTTTCTGGTTGCTGTTTTTTCGGGTGAACTGAACTTGATATGAGAGAAAACAATTTATTTATTGCATTTCAGATTACCTTGGGCTTCTGGAAATTTCTGGGACCTTTCCAAACATAGTAGCAGGGTAGGTAATCTTCCAGTCAGAAACGTGACATGTAACTTTAATTTCTAGTTGTTTCTGAGGAATTTCTATTGAATGCTGATTGGATAAAATGTTTCTCAGAGTTTTTTAGGGCCCCTTCGGGAGTTTTTTCGAGGAATTTCTCGGGTCTCTCCAACAATTTAGAGTAGGGTTTAGAAAGTTAGTGGTGGTTAATCCAAAATGTGGTTTCGATTTATGTAGTCAATAATTATTGGTTTGAGTCAGCTTAGTAGTTTCAGGTTATTTAATCATAGTCGGTTTCATTATTATAATCAATTGTTTGAGATGGTTAGCAGCAAGCCTGAGAGTCGGTCACAGTAGTGCACTGAAAACTGACTTTTCTTTTGGAATCATCTCTATCTCCAGTGTTGTTCTCTAATCTTAATAATACTACTGATTTTTCTATTATTTTCACATTCATCATTATAATTTCATCTCATTATAATGATATAGTATGGTAAATATAACCAATGTTTGCCAGGTTCCATATTGTTGATGACTGACTAACTGATTGAGACTGTTTTAACATATAGGGAAGTTCGACATTTTGATAACACTACTAATCAATCCTTTGAGTAGTACGAAGCTATAATCTTGTCTTGATAAGTGAACATTTCACAATATTCCAATGATCTAACCTAGCATATGTAACAATCATGCATATGTAACAACATCAACTAATGTATATTTTCCTTTATAATAGAAAATTCATTCGACACTATGAATCCTTTTCGCATCAAAGAGTTCTTAGCACAAACTTTACAATATTATAATAGATTTCGGTTTAATATACATTGAATTTGTAATCATTTGAGAAGATATTGATAAGTCTTTTAATTAAATGCTAGATTCGGTTTCGTAAGCTCTCTATTAACCCCCCAGGGTAAATCTACACAATGACTTGAACACAAGAGAAATATGGAAGAAACGCTTTAATCCAAAGGTTTGTTTATGTACAGGAATTCTAGGGTATTTATAGTATTTTATATGGCCTTGGGCTTCTGGAAATTTCTGGAACCCTTCTATACACAGAAACGCCACATGTGATTTTTCACTTTCTGGATGTTTCTGGTAAAATTTCTATAGAATTCTGTTTAGATAAAATGTTTCTTAGCGTTTTCAGATCGTTTTTTTGGCATTTTCCGAGAAATCTTTAGGATCTGCAGCTTGGTTGCTCGTATCTTTCATACATCTTCAATGGATTAGTTATTTTTAATCAGACAGCTGTTGCAAATACCTTTTTACATCCATCCTATGTAAGATGCATGAATTTCAATATATTCGTTCATCGTTTCATCAAATAATAGCCAAAGAAGAAAAATATGTCAAGAGTTTGAGTGCTTCGATTTGACATCTTATAAGTAGCACGTCCAAACCTACAATTATCATTTATAATCATTCATTTCAAATCAATTTACAACTGAATAAGGTAATTGCACTATTTATTCAGTTGGAAATTAGTTGACCTAAATCTTTAAACAGATCGCATTATCGTAGTTAAAGTGACCAAGTTTTCTTAATCACAAATCAATAATATATTTAGAGAATTGTATCTTAATATATAAGTCATGTTGTGGTGTGTACTACTGATGTCGATAGATATAAGTAGTATGCATCATCAATAGAAAGTGAAATGCCTGGAGGCAGAAGGTTAAGAAGATCAAAGAAAAGAGAACAAGAACAGAGAATGATTGATATGAAAAAGAGGCAACAGTCAAGTCTAAGACAATTGAATAATACTTTGCAAACGAAGTATTTACTGTATGGTTCTCAGAGTTTACTAACAGATTCTGTAATTTTGTATTCACATACATTTGGTTGTTCCCACTTGTGTTCTCGTCCACTACAAGAGTTCTTTAATCATTCTATAAATTGGTGATAAATTTCATGACCTTCATACGATGTTGGATGACATTCAATTAAATACTATCGTTAGGTATTTATTAGATCTATCTTAAGTCTGTTTCAATTTAACACTGAGACTTGGAGTTTTGTACAACTGTTGATTCATCGATATTCAGTGATGTCTGATATACGTAACAAAATTAAAAATCGCATGCTCATTAGTTTAAATGAAATTCGATAATATAAATAATGATGCAATCTTAAACGTCAATGGGAAGATTCAAACTAACGATACTAAATGAATATAAACTTCACCCTATTTCACAAGCAAGTGGCTAACAGGACTCAGTAGCTAAGTGAATAACGCAATGAAGTTTGAAGCATAAATTACTGGGTTCAAGTCCTGGAGTGAACATCAACTCTGAGATGCAGGTATATCCGGCGGACGAGTTCCAAATAGGACGAAACGCGCGTCTTGGATTCCACTAGTAGCCATTATCCATTTTTGCTTATAATAATGGAAACTGACTGAAACAGAAAGTGTGTGTAGCCATAATACGTGGATTAACCCATCTATGTTAAGAAAATGACTTTCAACTTTTTTCGTGGAACTGACAAATAAATCAAATTTATTGTGCATTACATAAAAAGCATGGCAGATTGGTTGAATTTAGACATTAACATCGTTGGATTTCAGCTCGGTGGTCTAGTTGGTTGGGAGCCTGGCGTGAGACTGACAGGTCTTGGGTTCAAATCTCGCGGGGTGCGGGGTCATGGATGCGCACTGCTAGGGGGTCCCCTACTAGGACGGAACGACCTTCCAGCGCTTCCAGGTTTTCCATGGCGGTCCAGCTTCAATTGACTCAGGATTTTAATCGGAGAAGTATATTTATATATAGCGTTTGGAACGTTTATAATTGTTAGGAACAATTCTCTTTTCTTATTATCATCATCATCATATATCGTCACGAATGTATATTTGAACTATTTTAAGTCTTCTATGATTCTTCATAACATATTAATTTGTGACAAATTCATTTGTGAAACTTTGCATTTGCCTGTTATTGACATTAAGGATTGAAACTGACCTGTCTCTGTCAGACTAATGTATCGTAAACTGATAGGCATTTAATAATCAAACTCCTTAATATCGATGACGCGAAAACACAATCCCTTACTATTGTGTTCCTATCCATTCAATAAGTAAGTAGTAATCTGAACGTTATCGTATAAGACATTAGCCATTAAAATCCGAAATTAAGAGTAAAGAGGAATACTGCCAGTTAGTCAGGTACAACGTAGGACCAGACATATACATGCATCGGTCCAAGTTGCCATAAATAATTATCACAACAAGATGAACGCCGAATTCATAGAAGTAGTGTTGTGAACAAGAACATGAGTGGGTACGATCGAATGTATTTGGAACCCGCAGTTACAGAACATCTCACTAAAATCTGAGAACCATACAGTAAATAGTTAATTTTTAAAATATCAATCGTCTCAAACTTGATTGTTCCTTTTGCAAATATCAGTCCATCGTCTGAGATTTCATTGTTCATGCATTTCCATAGCAACTGCTTACCGTTTCCGTTCTTTCCTTCTTTATCTTCTACTGAAATACATTCTATTTCTGACTATCGTTTTATACTACATGTGTGGATATAAGTAGCTCACATCATAGTAGTTTCTTCAATGGTGGTAATATATAAAAAGAAAGATTGTATATAAGGATATAGTACAGGAAGAAAGACTTAATTCGTAGAATGTAAGATATAAAGTAATGTCAGTCTCACAGTTTAAGGGGAGACAGAGACTGTATACATTTACGTCATTGTGATCGATTCTATGCCATATCACTCAGTCTCCAATCATTAGTTATGATAATTACGTGAACTTCAACATCACTCAGACTAGAGATACTGAGACATTGATCGATTCCACTGATCAATCCTAAATTAGATAAAATACTCGTTCTATATTCAATTGTTATAACCACAAACCCATTTCACTAAGATATAGAGTTTCCCCTCAGCAGTGCGCATTCACGACCCCGCCCCACCGGATTCGAACCCGGGACCTATCAGTCTCGCGCTAAGCGCTTAACTAACTAGGCCACTGGGCTGACATCGAACGTTGTTAATGTATAACTTCAACTAATCCACGAAATTGAGCGACACATCCACCATTGTCATCAGTGAGTTACTATCTCACAACTGACCCGGTTGAACTCTACTGATCACTGCTTCTCACTAGAACTCCAGGATATATATATCTTGAAGCCAGCCAATAGTTTCTTATCAATATACAATATCTTTTTTTGTTGGATAATATCAATCAATAATATTCACAAGAATTAAACAAACTGTAATGGATAATATAAACAATTGAATGAAACAATAAGGAATACAATGAAAATGTACAGTTGTTGTTGTTGTCTTTGTTGCTGTGGTGTTTTTTTTGTTGTTGTCGTCGTTGTTTTGTTTTTCTTCACTGTTTTGTTTTGTTTTCAAAATGAAGTGGAATTTTTAAAAAAACATTTTTTTATTTTCATAAAATTTTTCAGCCCATTTTACATAAGGCATAGCAAATTGAAAATGTAATTGTTGACGTGATTTACGTAATATTGAATCTTTATAATAAAATCTATTCATTATGTAGAAGAAATAAAGAAGAAAAAATACAAATCAAAATGATTAAAGAAGTAAATAGATGGTGAAATATAATTTAATGTTTAATGATTCTATGAATGAATAGAAATCAAATGAGTTACATTATTATCAGTAGGGGGTTTTGTGGATATTATAGGGATTTCAATTGTTGAGTTCATGAATTCATTGTGGCACTCCTCAGCAGTGTGCATCTACGATCTCGCCTTATGGGATCCAAACCGAGGACCTATCAGTCTTGCGCGCGCGAGCAGTTAATCATTAGACCACTGAGGGTTCAAATCTCACAGGGGAGGGGCGGGATTGTAGATGCGCACTGTTGAGGAGTTCTACAATAGAATGAAACAGCCGTTCAGTGCTTCAAGGTTTTCCATGGTGGTCTAGCTTCACATGACTCATGATTTTAATATTGGACCTACATTATTATTGTAGTGTCTAGTATCCATGTGAAGCCTACATGGATTATTGTATCTTCTATAGAGACTAATTTATTTATTCTTCTTGAGATACATTTTAACCGATGAGACTGTAATTTATGGATGACCTTTGAGTGACGCTAAAGTGACCTTGAGGATGTTCACCTACTTACTAGGGTCAAATGAAGGTTATAGAATAGTACGAGGAATTAGGATTAGGATTTACAGTTGCACGTTAAGATTAGGAATTAGATTTAAAGTTTTCGTCATAAACTGATATCAGCTAAAATACGAACATGCTATTTAGACAAATGGGTGAATGAATTTCAAGTCAAAATTCAAGACCTGCTATCTTAAATCTGATTAGTTAGTTCATTAATTATAGTCTTGCCAGCATTAATTTTTGTTTCTGAATTGAAGAGACCATTTTAAGTCATAAAATATTTTGTTCTTCATTCAAAAATGATCGTTTCGCGCCGTTTTTTCTCTCTAACCGTTAGTTTTCAATCAGTTTAACTTGCTTTATATTTGGTGGAATGTTTTTAAGTTCTACCATAGTTTCTAGAACGGCGGTAATGTATTTCTGAAACGAGTGTTTGTGGAGATTGTAGTAATTCCAATAGTTGAATTCATGAGTCGACTTAAACTAGACCATCATTTGAAACCTGGAAGCACTGGATGGTGATTTCATTCTGTCGTGAAACTTCTCATGATTGCGCATCCACGATCCCACCTCGAACTCAGGACCTGTCAGTCTCGAGCGCGAACGCTTAACCTCTAAACCACTAAGCCGGCCGGCATCTAACGGTGCTAGTGTCTAACTTCAACCAATTCATGATATTGCTCAACCATCTGCCGTTGTTTTCAATGAGTAACTGTCTCTACAATAGACATGGATGAACTCCACTGGCCTGGGTTCGAGTCCGGCGTGCGGGGTCGTAGATGCGAACTGCTGAGGAGTCCCATACTAGAAGGAAATGTCCGTCCATTGCTTCCAGATTTTCTATGGTGATCTAGCTTGGATTGACTCATAAACTCAACTATTAAAATTACTATAATATCCACAAAACCCCTTCTTATGTAATTGTTATTTTCCATTTTATAGTATTATACGGTCTCGTTTGTTTGTATATAAACTGTATATGTCTGAAATACATGATTCATACAGTGGAAGCTGATATTGGTATTCTGGACTGAACCGGCTGGATTAGGTGAAAAAAACCAGTAACTGTAGGCTGTTCGTACTGGTTAACGTATCATTGGTTTGGCACAGTACCAAGGTCAAATAAATCAATGTTCCAATTGATGATTTAGTCAGATTATAATCAATAAACCATTAGAATAAAACAGTAAGTTGGGTATAAATGAATACAAATAAAGAGTATAGGGTTGTGGAGATTATTAAATTATTGATTGAGATCTTGAACCGATTGATGTTAGACCACCATTGGAAACCTGAAAGCACTGAACGGCCGTTTCGTCTCATTGTGAGATAGTAACTCACTGAAGACAATGGTGGATATGTTGTTCAATTTCATGAATTAGTTGAAGTTAGACATTAAAATTGTTGAATGCCGATCGGCTCAGTGGTCTAGAGGTTAACCGTTCTAGTCCTGGGCTCGAATCTGCCAAGTCGAGATCATGGATGCTCACTGATAAGGAGGAGTCTCACAATAGGATGAAACAGTCATCCAATGCTTCGAATATAAATAAGTTTTAAAGAGAGCAAGAACAAAGATTGGTGCAGAATAATATGAATTCATTTACCTTATAGCTCTTGCCATTTTTTCATAATCCATTAATTTATTATTACGATAATAACCCCATTCTTTTGCTGCTAATTGTGTATTTACAATACGAAATAATCCAGTTGATTTATTAACCCATTGAAATGCACTATCTTTACTAATCTCTAAACTATATAATATAAATTGCCATAATTCCATTTGTTTATTTTTACATCGATCATGATTATTATGTGAATGTGAATGTGAATGTGAATGGGCAAATTTCCGATGTTTTCTTGATTTGATTTTATTCATTGAAGTGATAGATTGTTGTTGTATCTCTTTATCATTACAATCTGATAATTCATTAGATAACCAAAGGGTTGAACAAAAATCTTTATGCATACGTCGTGTAATAGGATTAGGCCACCATGATTCATATTCATTTATTTCATTTGATGATTGTATATAATGCTCTGATGAAGGAGGTTTTTTTCGATGATGTAAATTAGTAGTAATTGAATGATAAGTAAACTTTTTACATTGATTATTTATTATCTTTTCATATTCTTTCTCCTTCTCGTTCTCCACTTCCTCCTCCTCCTCCTTCTCTTCATCATCATCATCATTAGAAGAAGAAGATGATGATGATGGTGAATAGGATCCATCTTGATCATTTGAAATTAAAGATCTATGCTTAGATTTTCGTTTATTCGTTCGATATTTTCTTAAACGTTTTTGACGTATTAAATTATTATAATATTCAGCTTCGGAACATGTTAATGTACTATCTGAATTATATTCCTCATTATTCTTTTCATTATTATATGGGAGTTTATGTTCAACGTGTTCTTCTTCATTCGAAATGATCTCATTATCATTGAATATTGAATTCTGATTCAATTGTAAACGTTTATTATTCCGATTATAATTATGTTGAAATAATGATGATGATGGTGATGACAATGATGATGATGATGATGACGACGATGATGGTGTTGAGGATGATGATGATGGTGGTGGTGATGATGATGATGATGATGATGATGATGACGACGACGATGATGGTGTTGAGGATAATGATGGTGATGATGATGATGACGATGATGATGATGACGACGATGATGGTGTTGAGGATGGAGATGATGATGGTGATGATATTGAATAATCAAATTTATTGATTTCTTCTGATGTAGATTTTAATGAATTAACTGTTGAAAAAATTTGTACAACATCATCCATACGTAAATCTGAATAAATTTCATAGAAAAAGAACTTTTTCGAGTAAAGAATCTTTACGAAATATGATATTCTCTTCAAAATATAAGAGTATTCTTTTAAACAAACAATACTCTATGATCAAAGATTTCAATACACAAGGTTGAAAAATAGAATTGTGTTTATGAAATCAAATATAATGACTGTAATACAATGTATGTAGGTGAAACATCAAGGCAACTGAATGTAACGGTGAAGGAATACAAATTATGCTTAAAGTACATTTCTAAATCTTCAGTTGATGTAAGGAAACTCGAACACAAATCAGCTATATCATTACACTCCATAGAATCAGATCATAAGATTGATTTCAATAGCATAAGAATCCTTCAACAAGGTTTTCATTCTTACAAAGAAAGACTAACAGCTGAAGTCCTATACATATAGATAAATCCAAACAGTATTAATAGGAGAGATGGAATACAATCAGGTGTCCCATGGCAACTAATAATTAATAAGTAAACCTAAACTCTATCGTTTATTATTTTTGAATAACAGCAATCACATTCAACAGTTCTAATCAGCTGTTTTATCTGAATATGTTAAACAATTAATTGGAACAATAAAAGTAACACAAACTTTCAGTGACAAATACATTCTTCCTCCATATTATATGTTTTTCTGAAGATTCACCGACCAAAGGACAATACCACTTATGTATACACAGTTTTCATTTCATACCACAAGTCTCTTATACACTAATGTAAATACCTACTTTAAACATTGTTCACGTTGATTGGATAACGTATTCAGTATACAGTAAACCAGAGAACTATGTACCTATTTATATTCCATAGTTTTGTTGTTTGATTATAGTTTCCTTGAAAAAGCTTGGACCAGATTGTCAGGCGAAAACGCTGGATTTACTTCAAATTCATTCGCTGAGATTTTACTAATCTATATTCTACCTTTTTAATGTATGATATTATCCATTTAAATGGATTCTATTATGATATTGTACCATTGGAAAAGATTATGTCAAATAGGAATATTACTGACATTTAGACAGAATTGTACAATCGATTCTTTCTTATATTTTAACAATTGAATCCACGATTCAATATAAGTTAGACTACTATTGAAAATCTGGAAGAACGGGACGGCCGTTTTATTCTAGTATGAGACTCCTCGACAGTGAGCATCCATAATTTCTCATCAAAGGGGCTCAAACCCAATACATTCGGTCTCACGAGTGAATGCTGAATCGGCATCAAACTATGTTATTGTCTAACTTCTATCGATCTTGTATATCATATATATTGACATATGAAATCTTAATCATCCGTCCTGAACTCTTTATTCGATGACTTTGGTGTAAAATACTGACTCTTTTATCATATCCACTTGATAAGATTCATAAGCATACATTCAGTTTCGTATTTAAATCCACCTCTATGTGATATTTCATAAATGGATTTGACAAATTTGTATACATCACGACTCAGTAGCTAAGTGGATACCGCGGTGGCGTTTGAAGTTAACGGTAGTGAGTTGGAAACCCAGAGTGAACATTAACTCTGAGACTCAGACACATCCATCTGACGAGTCCCGAATAGGACGAAACCCACGTCCTGGATTCCACTACTAGCCACTATACACTTTTGCATATAGTGCTTGAGACTTAAGACTATATCGAAGCAATACGCATAGTATGCACATATACCGATAAGAGACTGACCAATCGCAGTCCTAAACATCAATGGGAAGATTCAAACAAACTATACCAAGTGAGTTGTGTACACATCGTTCAGAAAGTTTGTGAAAATGTTATATACTACTTAATATTTTTACAAGTAACTGAAATGTTTTCTATAAATTTCATGGAATTCACATGGAATCTCCATTGGAGTCATCGGGATTACAAATGCATATAATTACTGACAAAATCATATAAAAATTGTCAGTTTTGTTAATGATATCATCAAACTGAAGTGTTTGGTGATAGTAGTATCTAAAACTAACATTTTTGTGCATGTAGTGAAGTGAAAGACTGAGAAATCTTATTCAACACTAAGCAGATCTAGTGAAATGGAACAAGATTTAATTGGAAATGTCTTCAATATTATTCTAATTGTTTTTCAGGAGTGAGTAAAGATCAAAAATCAGTTTTATTTTATAATTTGCTGGAAAAACGTAATATTCAATTAGTGTTCGCTTGTGACAAAGTCAAGCATCATGTTACCAACATCTACACAAAACACCTAATTAGCTGGGTGATACGGGATTGAATCCGTTAATGAGCATCAGTTCCCTCAAGATTACAGGTACACCTTTCTAACAAGTGAAAAGCAGCACATAACGTAGGTGTAGGGCTTTTTGTTGACTAACTCCAATTACCATCTTATCTCAATATACTACACATAATGTCGAGTCACCTAGACCGGTGGGCACATTACAACCTGGTCGATAGGATTCGATCTGTACTAAGAAGGACCTGACATACATGACAATGATCACCACCTAGTGTTCAATCGATTGTAAATTGAATTAACAAGAAGTCATATGATTTCTGATAACTAGCGTCGATATTATTATTCCACAGTTTCATTATGAAATCGTGAAGTATGGCGTTGACTTATTCTGCAATAATAAGTATCACACTACATCATTTGTTAAATACCAACTCATTGAATCAATGGTATTTCATACCACACAAGATTGAAATATGCTGGTTTTAATCTCACACAGGAACATGAGTCTAGTTAACATTAATTATACTATTTTCGACATAACTAGTAATTATTCATCTTGAGGGTATTTATCATGTATAGAATCTTCAGATTAAATAAATCAAGGCATTTGATAAATTACAGACAAGTTGATTTGATAAATACGAGAAGAGTGATGGATTTCGGGAAGTGAAAGATTGGATCCTTCTAGAAAGTTCTAGTCAGAAATGTTTTCATCGTTTCAATTACTAGCACTCTATTTTATCCATATGTATTAATTGTTTAAATCTTCCCATTAGTGTTTAGGACTTTAATTGATCAGTCTCTTTTTGTATATGCGGATCGTCTTGATAATACCGCTAAGTTTTGAATATTATAAACTGAGTTAGACTGTGGCTGGCATTGGAATTCAGGAGGTGTGTTTCATCTCATTCGGGCTTTGTCAGTTGGATGCATTTGTACCCGAGTTGATGTTCATCCGGGGACTCGAACTGAGTACCATCCTTTTCGAAAGGCACAGTGATATTTACTTAGTTATGAGCACCGATGAACATTGGTAAATGCAATAGAGTGGATTTAAACGTATTTTTATTGGTTGTCCAAATATTTCGATTGGTGTTTAAGATTGTAATTGAAAGGTAAGATCATCACTATTGACAGTTATATATATATATTCCTGTTCAATAACAATATGTTTAGTATACTACTTACTTGGATTGTCAGTACGAATAAGTGACCAAAATGTAAATATAGTCTGAACATGAGGTTTAGGGTAACAAATTGGTCCTTATTAACTAGTTGAGAGAAAACATATCATAACATATCAAGTGCCAGTACGATAGAAGATAGAAAAATCCATGTCCTTAGTCCATAAACAGTAATACTTCCACAGTTAGAAAAACTAATAATTTATGTTTTTATTATTTTTTATTTTAACACTTAGGTATTGGTACAAGGGGGCACCAGATACATATGCGCCACACAAATCTCATTTGGTCTGTGCAAGGGCTGTGATACTACCCAGGTGCCCAAACCAAAGCAAGTGGTTTTCTTAGGAGGCCACACCCAGATCTGAAAGTCTGATCCACAAGGCAGTGGAGCAAGATGAGGAGATGCAATGCCATGGTAGTCGGTGACCAACGATTGGTTCATAGGCCATTCGTTCCTTCAGAACCCTGAAGCCCATGTGCACCATTGGCATAAGAATCAAGGTTTTCCAACTCCTCTAGGTGGAATCTCAATGTCCACAAACCTGATTAAAGCATCGGACATTCGCTTTTTGTTCTCTGAATTTCGTAAACAACACCCCTGGTGTGAGAAGGTGATGAGAAGGACTTCGTTGACAGGGGCTATATACGCGTGACCATGTGAGAGCATTTGGAGAGGGAGAGCGGACTCTTTCCACTCTCCGCCTACCAGGGCATTTATGTAAAAAATCCTAATCATTAGTATGCAAAATATCTTCTTCCACTAACTTATCTAACAAGTAAGCATTTATAATATACGTGCATTATAATGAAGAAACCATACATGATATAAAGCTTCTGTTGACAAGATCGAAACGATTCATAGTTCTAGTGGATGTCTTGGATAATCTTACATCATATGGGCTGAATTATCTTAACATTCTAAGTGCCTACCTCAAATGATAGAAAGCAATTCGAAACTAATCCGTAAGAGCCGTAGCGTATGTCATTTCTGTGTACTTCTTTAACAGAATATCTCATTGATTCCAACTAGACCACTGAGACGGCATCCAACGGTGTTAATGTCTAACCTCAACCAATCCACGAAGTTGCACCACCGTATACTATTGTCTTCAGTGAGCTGATATCTCACAACAGACCTGATTGAACTCCACTGGTAACGGCTTCTCACTAGAACTCAAGGAGTATCTCTTGAAGTCAGTCACTAGTGAGCAGATGATTATCATCAGAAGGGGTTTGTGGAGATTTTAGAAATTTCACAGATTGAAATCATGATTCAATTGAAGCTAGACCACCATGCCGGCTCAGTGGTCTAGTTGGTTAAGCGCTTGATGCGAGACTGACAGGTCCTGGGTTCGAATGTCGCGGGGTGCGGGTTCGTGGATGCGCACTGCTGAGGAGTCCCATACTAGGACGAGACGGCCGTCCTGTGCTTCCAGGTTTTCCATGGTGGTCTAGCTTCAATTGACTCATGATTTCAATCTGTGAATTTTCTAAAATCTCCACAAACCCCTTCTGAAAATGAGTGCACTAACATTGTGGTGTGCACTACTGATATCGACAGATAGAAGTAGTATGTATCATCAATAGAAAGTGAAATGCCTGGAAGCAGAAGATCAAAGAAAAGAGAACGAGAACAAGGAATGATTGGTGTGGAGCGATCATGCCTGATACGATTGATTGACAATTTGCAAATGAATTATTTACTGTATAATTCTCAGATTTTACTAAGAGATTCTGTAATTGTGTGTTCGAGTAAATATTCAATTGACCCCACTTGTGTTCTTATTCACTACAACACCATAATAACCAGTGAATTACACTAAACTATATTCTCAATAATCAATTATTTCGGTGAGACTAAAATTTATGGACGAACCAATCAGGTATAAGATAATAGATCTCGGATTTGGGCATGAAAGCCTTTCATCCATTTGGCTAAATAGAATTTTGGCATTATAGCTGATGTCAGTTCGTGATGAAAACCCCTAAATCTAATTCTTAACCTTAATCATCGATCGCAAACCATAGTTCTAATTCCTCATACTCATTTATAACTTTCATTTAGTCCTGGTTCTTAGGTGAACACTCTCAAGATCACTTCAACGTCGCTCAAAGGTTATCCATAAATTATAGTCTCATCTTATTCTTTTTCTTATCTTAGACCTTATTAAACTATAATAATCTTAGAAGATCCATGAATGTATGAATGAAACTCTTAATTCACAGTTTCACTCATATTAGATAACTAAATTACTGACTTATGATTTTGACCAAAATCAGTTTAAACCCTACATCATCAAACTTACATACTGACTAACTGATTTGCATACATACCCTAAACATTTATAAATAACTAAGTATTTTGTCATTTAGCATTATTAGCTGAAGCAGCGAATAAATTGTCTTTTACCTTTTATCTTCTCAATAATTGAAAACTAGATCTCAAGTTATTGGGAGTATGGTGAAAGTTCAGTTCATGAGTATTTGTGCTAATCTCATTATGATAGGTTTGTATTCACTAATTCGGTTCGTATTTCTACATTATTAAATGCAATCAGATCATAACACTGTGAATGGTTGATGTAGAGGCTGGTACTATATCAAGCTCACATGGGTTATTCTAACCTGTGAATAGATCAATCTATTTACTCTACTCATGACATATTCTTACTCTGTCATTTATTTGCTTATTAGTCCTGACTCTTTTTAAGCAAGCTCAAGTTGTATACATTTCTTATCTTACCCATCACATGTCTGTAACTTCTTTTTGTCAGACTATAAATATCGATTCACGCTTGATTAAATGAAGTTGGCTCAATTGCTTTCTCCGTTGCATATCATTTTGCTTCGCTTTCTTAGCTTCATTTCTCAAATCAACGACTGTATGAAATATACTCATTCAAACTTCATTCTCGTATTTGACTTATTCAATTCCGTTTTTTGTTTACTAACAGGAGTTAAGTCGACAATGATATACGACGATTGACGACATGTATATTTCAATAACAATCATTCGATAATGATCATTCATTCAATCTAACTGGAGTCAGATTCTGGGTCCACTAAATTAATTCAACAAGGTAATGATGTATTATTGAATAAGATTATTCGATTATTTTGGTGTAAAATACTGACTCTTTTATCATGTCCACTTGATAAGATTCATAATCATACATTCAGTTTCGTTTTTAAATCCCACCTCGATGTGATATTTCATAAATGGATTTGAAAAATTCGTATATATCAGGACTCAGTAGTCGAGTGGATAACGCGGTGGCGTTTGAAGCTAACGGTGGTGAGTTGGAAACCCAGAGTGAACATCAACTCAGACTCAGACACATCCATCTGACGAGTCCCAAATAGGAAATCATGGAATTTCGACCTCATCCACCAAAATCTTGAAATACTGACATTATATTTTTTAGTACTCACAGGTGTTCAGTAGATTTTCGGCTGATCATTATCATTCACAGCTGAAATATTCAAATTTTAATTACTGTTTGACGTCTGAATGCCATTATTGCTTAGTCTTGATACTATCATTAAACATCACATCATAATGCATAACAAATCCAAAGATATGGATTTGCATATGATAACTAAATTGCTACAAAATCAATCAATTTAATGATAATCATGAGTTAATTAAAACTAGACCACCATGAAAAACCTGAAAGCTCTGGACGGCCGTTCCATCCTATTTCGAGATAGTAACTCACTTAAGACAATGATGGATGTGTCGCTCAATTTCGTGGATTAATTGAAGTTAGACATTCACACCATTAGATGCCGACCGATTCAATGGTTTGGAGGTTAAGCGTTTGCGCGCAACACCAATAGGTCCTGTATTCAAATCTCACAAGGTGGGATCATGGATGCCCACTGCTGAAGAGTCCCACAATGGGACGAAACATCCATTCAATCTTTCTAGGTTTTCCATGATAATCTAAATTCAATTAACTGATGATCTCAACTATTAAAAAATTACTATAATATTCACAAAAACCCATTTCTAATAATGAATAATAATCACTTACTAGAAACATCTAATGTATCCATCCAAGCTATATCTGTACTTTCCAATTGAGACTCATCTTCATTAAGATCATTTGAAGTGATCTTTGTTTGTTCCTTTATATTATTGAATAATTCTTCATCATTTCTATAATGATTATCATATTCATTTAAACAATAATTATGTGTCATTGTATAATCCATTGGATAAAACAATGATGGATCTAATGTATTTTCAAAATGATTTGATATACTTAAAATATTCATTGTTGACATACTGTTATCTATATTCATACATTCAAGTGATTTATTTGAAGAGAATAATTTTTGATTTGATAATAAATTACTTAAATCATTATGACTACATGAGAATGAATCAATGGATTCGGATGAACATGGTGAAGTGGATTGCCAAGCTAAGTCATCCGGTATATCAGTGAATATTTGATTCATATAATCATTTGGTTTGTTTAGATCATCATTATGTTGTGTAGTGTTTTCAGTTGGAGATAGGAAATCTGGAATAATATTGTTTTTGTAAATAGAAAATATAGTAACTTATTAAAGGTAAGTTGAATAATCCATTTGGGAAATTTATTCATTTATTATATCATCAAAATGTAAACGTTTTATATGGGACTTACTGCATTGAATACATATACATCATATAAATCAATTGATTTTGTGTGTGATATATGATACTACCTGGATGCCTAGACCAAAGAAGGTGGTTTTCTTAGGCGGTTACAACCGGAGCCTTTGACCTAGAGATCGGATCCACAAAACAGTGAAGCAACGTGAGGAGATGCATTCCCATGGTATTCGGTGACGAACAGTTGGTTCATACGTCATTGGTTCTTTCAGGATACTGGATTGCAGGTGCACCATTGGATTGGAATCAGGGTTTTCCGACTCCTCTAGGTGGATCCTCCCTGTCAAATAACCCGGTTAAAGCTCCAGGCATTCGGTTTTCGTTCTCTCAATTTCGGGAAAAAACAGTAGTTCCGCTAGAAGGCAGTGAGTAGGACGTCCATATCAATGGTTGTATACGTGTGGCCATGTGAAAGTATTTGGGGAATAAGAGCTGACTCTTCCCACCCTCGGTTGTACCAAGACATTTTGGGGCAGAAGTAAACATTTAGCTTGGTTTCAAAATTTACGAACAATCGAATCATTATTTTCCTTAACATCAAAATATAAAGATTTTTCGAATTCAAATCTTACTGAATACTTCTTATTTTCATTTGTTCTTAAGATTTCCTTCAACTACTCAATATCTAGAAGAAACTTACACATAAGGTTATATAATAAAGTATTGATTGAAATAGGCTAATCATTCATAAGGTTCATTATTCATCAGATAAACAATTGAATACACTGGAGAGAGAGATGTAGAGAGATGTGGAAACAGATGATCACATTGAATCAAAGAGGTTTCTAAAGTAGGGAACTAATGATACCGATTAGGTAATTCTGACTATGAAAATGAATTAACCAGTATAGTTCAGTAAAGGGGGGGGTAGTAGTTCAAATCTCAAATGATCATTGAGAATACTAAGTACCAAAGTCATTGATATAAAACAGGTCATTTAAAACAATTTCTACCTCAGTCAATGTTGATAAAAGACATCCGTACATTGTCTCTATTCCGTTGATTGTGACAGGTGTCTAAATGAAGGGGAACCATGAATGAATTGAGTCTTACAGTTATTATCTTTACTATTACTATTTCCTTTCATTAGCATATCAGTCAATTATATCAAACAGTACAAATATTCTCTAGATGTTTATTAAAAACCGTTAGGTGGTTATCAGGACTTAGTAGCTAAGTGGATAACACGATGGTGTTTGAAGCGATCGATACTGGGTCCGAGTCCCGGAGTGAACATCAACTCTGGGATGTGGATATATCTAGCTGACGAGTCCTAAATAGGACGATGTGTCGCGCGTCCTGGATTCCACTACTAGCCACTATCCACCTTTGCATTCAAAGTTATGTATACCATTTCACTTACCATTGTTTATTATTTCATTTGTTTCACTTATTTCTTCTTTTTCATCTACTGACCATTGAATATCATCGTATTGTTTAAATAGACTACATTGAAATAATTCAAAATAATAAAAAGAAAAGAAAATGAAAGTGCAAATGATTTGAATTAACAGTATGATGTTGTAAAGATCATTAAGTTTTTGATTAAGATCATGAACTGATCAATGTTAGATCACCATTTAAAATAAGGAAACACTGAATGGACGTTTCGGTTTAATGCGGAACTCCTCAGTAGTGCTCATCCACGATCCCGCGAACGAGATTTATATGACTTTGTGGAAAAAAGAAGCTATATTTAAATGTATTTGTTTACATAGCTTCTAAATAATGTAATGATGACTATATTATTTTTCAAATGAGTGTATAACATTAGCTAAATCTTTAATAATGGGATTGTGGAGGTTGTTGAGTTTGAATCGAGATTATAAATCGATCAGTGTTTGTCCACTAAAATCTGGAAGCACTGAACGGCCGTTTAGTATTAATATATGAACTCCCCAGTAGTGCCCAACCATGATCTTGACGGTTCAGTGATGTAGAGGTTAAGCGTTTCCACACGAGACTTGGGGTGGTGGGTTCGTGTCTCTTTGGTGCAGGGCCATGAATGGGCACTACTGAGGAGTTCCATATTAGAGCAAAACGGCAGTCCAATGCATCTGTGTATGTAATGGTGTTCTCATATTTATTGGTTCACAACCTCAGTTTATTTAATCTGCTTGACCATTTTTGTGAAAGTAAGTTTGGTATAAGGGTGGATTTTTGTCGGGAACTGAAGTCATTCAGTGTACTATTGTAGATCGGGGGGTAACGGGTAGCTATTTCCGTCTAGTATGGAATTTCTTATATCCACAATCTAAGGTCTTCAAGTCTTGTAGCTAACCTTTGGAAAAACAAGTTATTACCCAGTACCGGTTGCTTCAAACGCCATCATGCTGTCCATTTAGCCACTGAGCCTAGATAGCTACTTACTTATGCAAATGGTTAGGATTATCCCGTTACTGACACTTTTAATTGAAATTTGAAAGTCAACTCTGGGATGCAGTGACCTCCAACTGACTAGTTCTAAATAGAATGGAACGCGCGTCTTGCATCCCACTGCTAAACACACTCCTTCTGTTCTATATTAAGTTGTATCATAAAATCTATATCAAGGCAATCTGCACGGAATGGTCGTACATTAACCATGAGTGATCAAATTCCAGCCAAAAATACCAATAACAGGATAATCTGAATAATTTCAATTCGATTTCAGTTTGAATAGATTTTTATTTTATTTTGCTTAATATCATGAACCGATTGATGTTAGACCACAGTTGGAAACCTGGAAGCACTAGACGACCGTTTCGTCCTATTGTTGGACTCCTCAGTAGTGCGCATCCACGACCCCGCCCGCGGGATTCGAACCCAGGGGCCTTCAGTCTCGCGCGTGAACGCTTAACCTACTGGACCAGTGAGCCGACATCCAATGGTGTTGGTATCTAAGATCAACCAATCGACGAAATTGCATGACCATCTTCCATTGTACTTAGGTAGATACCTGTCTCTACCCGACACGGATTAGCTCCACTGGTCATGGCTTCTGACTAGAACTCCGAGAATTCTCTCAAGAAGCTAGTCACTTTTGAGCACATTGTAATTATCAGTATGGGGTTGTGGAGGTGGTTAAGTTTTTGATTGAAATCATGAACAGGGAGTAGATTTATTGAATGAATTGATCATCTTACCGACTTTGAAAACCTCACCAACCTTGATAGATTCTTGTGATTGATAAACTTTTGACACAAATACAGATTGTCGTATGGATTTTCTTGACGTATAAAGAAATTGAAGATTGTGTAATACTGATGTTAACAATATCGTACATTGTTTGGTCTTTTAATAACAGTTATCCGGGTGTGAGACAGTTATCTACCGAAGACAATAGAAAATGATCGCACAATATCATAGATTAGTTGAAGTTAGACATTTACATAGTTGTGCGCCAGCTCAATAATTTAGAGGTTAGTTTTCCGCACGAGATCGAACGACATGGGTCCGAATCCCGTGTTTTCAATAGTGACCTAACATTGGTCGGTTCATGATCTCGATCAAAAACTTAATATTCTCCACAATCCCATACTGATAATTATCATGTACTCATTAGTAACAAGCTTCATGAGGGAATTCTCGGAGTTCTAGTGAGACACCGTGATCAGTGGAACTAATACAATATTAGATAGAGACAGTTATCTACCTAAGTACAATGAAAGATGGTTGCGAAATTTCATGGATTGGTTAAGGTTAGACATTACCATCGTTGGATGTTGACCGGCTCAATGATTTAGTGGTTAAGCACTCGTAGATTCTGTGTTCGAATCTCTCGAGGCAAGATCGTAGATGTGCACTGTTGAATAGTCCCACAATAGGATAAAACGGCTATCCAATGCTTCTTTGTTTTCAATGATGATCTAACATCAATCGATTCATGATCTCGATCATATACTTAACTAATCCTAATTTTTTAAAACGTTTAAATCTATAAAGTGTTGTTTTGTTATATATTTCACCTTTAAACATTAAGTTCTATTAACTGAATATATTACATATACTTGTAAGTTATGGATAAAATGTCTTGACCGCCCATGGAATAGAGCTATGATAATGAACTTTGATAATTCACTATAGATTATTTTTTCTTTTTTTTTTTGGTGGATGAAATAAAGATTGTAACTAGGTAATCAATGAACATTATCAATGTTTCTCATTCTCAGTTCCATGGATCAAAAACCGGAAAATTATTTTTGTATTTTTTTAAGAGTAAACAAACCAACAAACAAACAGTGTGCTGGGTATCTATGTCATCTCAGTTTTGAACTGTAAAAAAAAGAGGCTTTTTGATGGAGTTTTGTTCTCTGATCTGGATAGTTTGATCGTGACGATTATATCATTCTTCTGAACGATATCATCAGCAGAAACTTTAGGTAGCTATAACTTAACAAGGTATTTCATGTGTGATATCTGGCCTATGGAATGAATTATTTCTAGTGTGACTTTTATTCATTAGCAACAATAAATGAAGATTTTCCATTACGAGTTATTAGTTCTTTTTTAAAGTATCACTTTCTATAAGAAACTCCTTCTGGGACTACTACCGGTTCCATGTCCGGATAAAGGAGGATTGGGTATGGGGTTAGCAACCCTTTCATGTAGAAAACTAACTCGCTAAAAAATCACTAACCATAAAAAAAATAATTCAAACCATTTAAACTCTGCTCCGGGATTTAGAAGTTATGACGCCTCATGGTGAAAGCCGACTTCCTTCGGAACTCACGATGCGGATGCCCATTCTGACAACCAGAGCAACCATTAATTTAAGTACATGGAATGGTTGTACAATGTGAGAGATCGGGAGAGTCTTCCAAATTGCTCGCTTTCCATAAGACTTAAAAATTTTATGATTAGCTTTGGACCAGGTCATAGTTGTCAACTATCATGTGGTTTCACTTCCATGTCGAACATATTGATAAAGTGAAATTCATGTCGATAAGGTAGAATGATTAGAAAAGTATATTATCGCCTTATACAAATTGTGACGTAATTAATCTATATGAAATTTTTAGCCTGAATTATGTAATTTATATTAACAGATTATTAGGGATTATTGTAATTCGTCTTTGAATTCATACTATTCTACAGGTATCATAAGTTCATGTAAGTTACAATTTGATTAGTAAAGATTTTGATACTGAATATATAGATCACAACCAATATAAGCGATGATGGATAGTGACTAGCCGTTGAATCCAGGACACGCATTTCCTCCTATATGGGGCTCTTCAGTTGGACTCAGTAGCTAAGTGGACAAATTAATGGTGTTTGATGCGGACGGTACTTGGTTCGAATCCCTCAATGAACATTTATTTTATTTAAACACAAGGATGCACAAAATATATATGCGTCACATAAATCATTCGATTCGTGTGAGGGCTGTGATACTGCTCGGGTGCCAAAACCGAAGCAGGTGGTTCTCTTAAATGGTCACACCTGAAGTCTTTGGCATGAAGGACTAATCCACAAGGCAATGGAGCAACGTCAGGAGATGCAGTCTCATGGTAACCGGTGACCAACAATAGGTTCATATGCCATTTGTTCCTTTGGGACTTTGGAGTCCATGTACACTATTGGTTTGAAATCAGGATTTCTCAACTCCCCTACGTTAACTCTACGTGTCCACCAACCCTGGATTCCATTACTAGCCAGCATCCATCTTTGTTTATTCTTCCTTCATTATTAGATCATTACTCAGTCGTTCTTTGGTACTTGAAATCTATGAACAATTTATGATGAAATGTCTTTCTATAATTCTATAAACTCATATATTTATTTAATCATTATAAATATAATTGTACAGCTTCAAGAAAATGATATCATTAAGAAGAAGATTTTCTCCTATCAATCACCTTTCTCTTCTTCTTCTTCTTCTTCTTCTTCTTCTTCTCATCCTCCTCCTACTACTCCTGTTTCGAAAATTTAACCCTTGACGAATATTCGTTTAATGGAATAATTTATGTATAGTGAGTACAATTTTGCATGAGACGGCGGTTTCGTCCTAGTAAGGAACTTTTTGGCAGTGAACAATTCCAGACTTAGGATTTCAACCCATGATCTTCTGTCTCGCACGCGAACACTTCAACTCTGGACTACTGATTCGGTATTCAACAGTGTTAATGTCCAATTTCAATCGATCCATGAGCTTGTGCAACCTTTCATTTATTGTTTGAGGTAGATAATTGTCTCTACCCGACACGGATTAGTCCCAATAGTCATGACAGTCCAGTACTTCCAGATTTTCAATGGTGTTTTAATAAAATATTATCCACCTGAAATCATTTTGTTTATTCTTTAGTGATAACTGAACTGTAGCAGACCAAGTTGCAATATGACTACTAGTTTAAGTGATCAGATCGGTAATAAGCTTTGATTAATATATAAGTTTTCATTCGAATTGTCACCTGTCAGGAATCTAAATGGAGGTTATAATCATTGTCTTACTTAACTTTACAGTTTGAGTACTTATTACTAAGCTATTTGGATTGCAAATAGCATCCTATATGATTGAGATATTTACATCAAGTTAGCATTGAGTAACGGTCAATTTCGTGTTTGTCTATTTCGTTAATCCGATTGAATTATATATCTATTTTTCATTTAGGTCATGAATCGATCAGCGTTAAATCACTATTGAAAACAAAAAAAGTACTAGACGTCTGCTTCGTCCTAGTATGGGACTCCTTAGCAGCGTGCATCCATGATTCCACAAGCGAGATTCGAACCAGAACGTTCTGTTTCACATGAACGCTTCTCCTTTAAATCATTGATTCGACATTCAGTGGTGTTAATGTTTAACTTCAATCGATCTGTGAAACTGCATGACCATCTTCATTTGTCTGGAGTAGATATCTGTCTCTACCTGACGTGGATTAATTCCCCTGGTCACAACTTCTCATTAGAACTCTGAAAATTACCTCTCCACAACGTCATACTGATATTTATTATTCAATTTGTAATAATAATCCATTCATTTAACAATCAAACTCAAAATAAAGTTCATTTATTGTACTCTAATGATTACTTTAAACCAAAATACCTAATGATTCCTATTTTCTAGATTACTAATAAAGAACGATATCCTGATTGTAAGTTTTACATATTGTGATGTATACTACTGATGTCGATAGATATAAGTAATCTGTATCATCAAGAGATAGCAAAATGCCTTACGTCAGAAGGTTAAGAAGATCAAAGAAAAGTGGATGAGAACAGAGTGATTGGTGTGGAAACGAAAGAACAATGAAGTCTGAGACGATTGTTTGACATTTTGTAAATGAATTATTTTACCAATATATTCTGTAATTTGTCTTTTCAAATACATTCGATTGTCCCTATTTTTCTTCTCGTTCACTACAATATCCCATTTCAAGCAAGCAAGGATGGCGATTAGAAATGGAAGATGTCTATTTAGCGAAGTCCGAACTTCCCAGTCCTTTACAATACTGATCGTATTTCGGCATATTTGATGGTGATGCAGGATCTCGCGTTTCAGAGCTTTGTGTAGTAAAGTTTATAGGTGCTATTCTTAGCATAGAAGAATTCCAGAAGCTTAGTTTTCTTAAAGAGCTTAATACAGCTGTGGTCAAGAAAGACGTCATTAATGCGTCTTAGCGTTCGATCGCGACCTAGCATTTGATGATTCCGATGAAAAGTCAGTTGTCCTCACCTATGTTCTCGTTCACTACGACCCTAAAATTTCATGGTTCATTAAAATCTCTTCGTCAGAGTTTAATATTGATCGATTTCAGTTAATCTTTTGGAAGAACTAGTTTCTTACTGGTTGAATCGTCAACAACAAGATATATCTGTGTTATGGTGATATATGATGTTCCCTATGGAAATCGAATTCATACCGCCCATTGTCAGATTCAGATACCCGGATTTTGAGCAGTCCGATTAGGAACTGACCTCTATGTATAGCTGATATGTTTATGCACTACTCAGTTACTCAATGGCAATTTATGACAACTTATCTAGTACTACAAAGAGTTAGTAGTATGTAGACCAAATTATCAGTTAAGTATGTTCGTATGACAAAATTTAGCAAGTGTCCAAATTGCTTGAGAGGGTTTTTTATCTTTATATTGGAGATACATTCAGTAGACGAATCTCAACTAACAGAAGGCCTAGATTCAAACTTTAAACTATTCAAAATCCACATAAACATAAAGTTATATAGTCCAGTGGTCAGCATGAAGCACTTGGAA